GTTTGTTTTGCTTTGCTAAAGACCAAATGTTGGTAAAACTCGTTAGACTTAATTATGCTGTGTTCAGTTGGATCAGACATTTTGCTTGCCTTACATTTTGTATTAGACATTTTACTTGCATGGCAACTTAAGAGGCGTTGCCAGTTTAGGCTTGATAGTTGAGTGATACAGTAGATAGTTTAAGTTTCTGTTGCTATAATTTGTTTTCTCAAACATAGGTGGCCTGGTTAAAAATGTATCTGTTGTAAAGATATTTGTCACCTACCTCAACCCCTTGCTGTCTGATAATATTTGGCATTCGTATTGATCTGTTTCCCTCATTTCTCAGTTGCAGCCAAACAGTGCTGCAGGTTCTGGCGCATTGGAGCATGATTCCTGCTGTCTCTACCGCCCTCTTTCAAGTGTAAGTAGTGTTTCTTTTTCAATCGTTTCCCTTCTTTCCCAGGCCACGTAACATATTATTTATTTTTACAGGGTGAATGTGTTCCTGGCCCACTCCCCCTGGGCGTTGCGGTGATTGATCAGTCAGTAGCACTTTTTGGTCAAATCTTCCCCAGAGTTGCCAATAAACATCGTCTCCAGATGCTGGAACACTTCTCTGAGTGTCTGAAGCATGCCAAGTCTGTACGCCAGGAGGCAGTACAAATGAATGTGTTCACTGCTGTTCTCAGTGGTCTCCGGGGTTTGGCAGAAACAAAGAGTAGTTTTGGACAGGAAGATGTCCGGAAAGCTGCAACAAATTTAATTATTGTGAGTATTGCAATTGTTCACATTTGGGTAAAGCTCTCTCTCTCTATGTTGTAAAAGATAATAATGATAAAAAAAATACCTGTTGCAGAGTTCACTTACCAGTGGCAACCCCATCCTGCGATGCGCTGCTGGTGAGTCACTTGGCAGAATGGCCCAGGTAGTGGGTGACCCCCGCTTCACTGCTGAGTTAGCGCAGACTAGTTTTGACCGCCTCAAGTCAGCTCGTGATGTGGCCAGCCGCACTGGGCACTCACTTGCTTTGGGATGCCTGCATCGCTACGTGGGAGGCATGGGCTCTAGCCAGCATTTAAACACTAGTGTGAGCATACTGCTTGCCCTAGCTCAGGACTCAACCTCACCAGTGGTGCAAGTATGTTTTCCGTGTTTATTTTAATAAATATTTTTACTTCGTATTGACAGTTTGTAAATGTTATTTCCTTGCCTTCCTCCATGACAGGTGTGGTCTCTTCATGCTCTGGCCTTGATAGCTGACTCTGGCGGTCCAATGTTCAGAGGCTATGTAGAGCCAACATTATCCTTGGCCTTGAAACTTTTATTGAATGTACCTCAGTCTCATGTTGATGTGCACCAATGTATAGGAAAAGTGCTATCTGCCCTCATAACTACAGTTGGGCCAGAACTTCAAGGTAAGTCCCTTGCTACCTTTTGAAAAAAAAAGAAGAAAAAAAGTACAAATTCTTTTTCACCCTAAGGACATTTATTAAATTTATTTTCTGTATGTACAGGAAACACAACTTCCATCTGCATGGCTCGGTCATCGTTCCTCTGTGCATGTGCTATTATGCAGGACCACCAGGACCCGCTGGTTCAGGCTGAGGCCACAGGGTGTTTGCAGCAGCTGCACCTATTTGCTCCGAGGCATGTCAACCTGTCCTCACTTGTGCCAACACTCTGTGTACGTATCCTTTTTTTTAAATTTATGTGTATCTATCATGAAAAAGTTGAAAAAAGAAGAAGAAGAAAACACAAGTTAGCCGAACAGTTAATTAAGCTCCCGCTTGTGCTTCATCCCCGCAGCGCACGCTGTCCAGCAGCCACCTGCTGCTGCGCAAGGCGGCCATCTCGTGCCTGAG